TTTCTGTCTTTTAACATGGCCACCAGAAAGTTTAAAATTACTTATGTGGCCTGTGTCACTTTTCTTTGGACAGTGCTGGCTGAGAGAATCATCTGACTTCCCCAAATTTCCACCAGAAGAATCCACTGCTCCTCAAATATGGTGGCTTCCTGGCTCTTCCGAGGGGATTCGGGATGCAGGAAATATCACTAGCCCTACTGAGCATGTACAGGCCGGCTGCTGCACGCATGTTATCTCATTTAATGTTCCCAGCAGCCCTGTGGGGCAGAAACTACAGGAACACCCATTTTCCAGAGGAAGAAACTGAGGCCAGAGTGGTGGGGTCACTGTCCAGGGTCACACAGCTGAGCCTCTAGGACTGAGCCCAGGGACGCTGGTCCCCGCCCAGTGACATGCGAGGGTGGAGTCTCACCTTGGACAACGGTGTGGTTGAGGGGTGGCGGGCAGGCTGGGGGGATGTCCACCGCGGTGTGGTCGGGTTTCCTGGCAGTCTTAGCTGAGTTGGTCTGGGTGGTGCTGGGGTTGGTGACGATAAGGCTGTTCTCGGGAGTCTTGGGGGGGCCGGGGTTGGAGGGGTTCCCCGGGTTGTTGGGCATCCGGCGACTGGTGGTATTCTGGGGATTGGTGGCCGTGGCAGATGGGGCCGTTGTGGGGCCGGGGTTGGTGCTGTTCCCCATCTTGGCTGGGCTCTGGGACAGGCCGGGGTGGCCGAGGCTGTCGTGGGGACTGGCCGATTCTGCAGTGGCCAGCTTGTTGTTCTTCATGTTGTCGATGTCCTCGGCCAGCGGCGGGTCTTGGCGACCTAGGTCTTGCTGGATCGGCCGGGTGGTCGACAGGTTGGGGCCCGACACGGGTACCCCGGAGCCCTGGGTGTCTCTGTGGAAGGCAGGCCAATGAAAAAGAACTCATGACTGAGTTAGAATAACACAGAGAACATTTCTGGATCCTGCCTAAGACACGATCAAGCGAGCGTACACCTCGGACATTGAGAGGCGTGTCCCGAAGCCGGCCAGTGTGCCGGGCACTGAGGTTCTTGATCCCCATGTAATGTCACTGCCCACCTCCCCAGATTTCAGCTGCTGCTTCTCCTGCCAGGATGGCTGTTTCCTGGGGCACGAGAAATAAGAGGGAAAAAGAACTTTCTGCCAGAGCCTGCACCCACCCTACCAAAACTTCTAGACTGGCCTGCTTGTCCCCCATTAGCTCCTAGGCAGAACTGGGGACACAGTGTTTCCAGGAGTGGCTAAAGTAGACAAGGGGACACCATCTCTTTCAGGGTGGGGATGTCTCCGGGCTTTAAATGCCTGTAGTATGTTTGTCCCCTCCCAATATTCCACTTAGGGGAAGCAGGCAATATATGCAGGTAAACATATTACAAAATAACAATAGAAACAGTAACAGCAGACACTTGAGTAACATAAACTCCCAGGTACTGTTCTGAGCATGGACTTACAGCCCCTTCATCCTCAGCTCCTGGAGGGACAGTTACTAGCACTACTTCACAGATGAGGAAACGGAAGCTCACACAGGTTAGTCTCTTGCCCAAGGCAACAGCGCTGGTAAACGAATGGGATAATTTCTCACATGGATACAAGTTTGGTGGGCAAAGCATTTGAGGCAGAAGGAACAGCCAGTTCAAAGGCCTTGAGGTGGGGACAAGGTTGGTGAGTTTCAGGAGGCTGGTGTAGCTGGAGGTAGAGAGCGGGGGGATGAGATAGTGCCAGGCAAATGCCTGGTCACTTCCTGTCAGATGATAAATAAATGTCCCATTTTTCAAATGAGGACACTGAGGCCCAGAAGTCCTACAGATCCAGACCTCCCTTCAGTCTGTGTGTCCTCCCACCTGCACACTCACACCCAGCTTGGCAAAGACCCTCAGGAGCCGTGGCCCTGGTGAGGGTGGCTGGCGTCTGGGGCCTGTAAGGCCCCTCTCACTGCATGCCTGTCCTTGCGAGGCCCTGCTCTGCTCTGCTGGATCCAGGTGGACCTGGTTCCCTAGCTGCCTCCCTAAGGGCTTGGCCCCTCAGTGTGGTCTGCTTGCTTTCACACCCCCTTCTGGACCCTCGATCCTCAGATAAGGGACCTCATTGTCCCCCAATCCCTGGGCACTGGCCGTGGCCAAGTCTGTTTCCCAGAAACAAAGGACCTCTGTTGTATATAATCTCCATGACTCCTCTCTCCAGAGGGCTCTGCAGTCTAAGAATTCTCTCCATGACTTTTTATTTTAATTTTAAATTTTTATTGATTCTAGAGAAAGGAAGGGAAAGAGAAGGAGAAAGATTAATGTGAGAGAGAAACATCGTTTGGTTGCCTCCCACATGCGCCCCAACCAGGGATGGAACCCAGCATCCCGGGCATGTGCCCTGAATAGGAATCTAACCCATCACCCTCTGGTGTACGGGATGATGCTCCGACCAACTGAGCCACGCCGGCCTCTCTGGCTCTTCTTAAAGGCAACCCTTGCTTCTGCAACCTGTGCCCTCCACATGTCCTCGTAACAGCTCACACTGACTGAGTCCTTGCTGTGTGTGGGATTTTACACATTATCAGCTCATCTACTCCTTGGAATAGCCATGGGAAGTAGGCAGTATTGTTATTTCTATCTTACAGATGAGGAAACCAAGGCCCAGAGACAAGAAGGGCCTTGTCAAGGGCCACACAGGCAGTTGGTGGCAGAGCCAGTTTGGAGCCCAGACAACACGGCTCCAGCGTCCATATTCTTGACCCTACCTGACACTGAACCTGTCTTATGAAGCAGTTTGAGGCCTCCCAGAGGCTTAGCCCATAGCTGGTGGGTGTGGGAATCCTTGGCACTGTTCTATCTCAACTCATTAACTTCCTGAACAGTCCTATCAGGCTGGGATATGACTGCTCCCATTATACAGATGGGGAAACTGAGGCCTGGACAAGCTGTCATACTAGAAAATGGCTTTGTCAGGCCATCACCATCACATACATTCACTCGAGACCAGAGCGGGCAAAAGACAGCACTCAGGTTACCCCTTTCATTTACTGCCCGGATTAGAAAGCAGTTCCAGGAACTGAAGCCCCCAGACAGCACAGGCCTGGTTCCCCAGGCCCAATCTGGAAGCCTAAATCTACCCAATGCTTAAAAGTAAAAAAAGCTGGCCTCCCTGGAGGGCCTCCCACAGGCTAAGCCACTGGCACCATCTTCCTCATTTTGTTTTTGTATTTGAACTTGCAAAAGGCCTTGGTGGTGTTTAGGAAGCAGAGGAGAGACAAGGTGTTTTATTTTTAGACTTGTCTTTCTGAGGATGCACAGGAAGGGCAGGCCCAGGAGAATTTCTCACTTCTCTGGCACGTGAGTAGGTCATGAATTGACACCTTGAAGACAGACTGACCTGGTTTAAGTCCCAGTGATGCCACTTACCAGCTACGTGACCCTCTGCAGTTTGATTAGCCTCTCTGAGCCTCAGATCCCTCACCTTTGAAATGGAAATAATGGTAGGAGACCTTCCCTGTAACTTAGAGATGAAAACGAAGATCCTGGTGCTGATTTGCTCTGTAGTCACCAGTGAGAGCCTGTTTCTCACCAGTAACAAGAACATGGGAAACTTATTGAGTCACTGTGAGGAATAAATGTGTGAGCGAGCTGAGGGCTAGAGAGTTACTCCTGGGCCTTGCCATCCAGTGGAATTGTCCTGATGGATTTAGAACTTGCTTGGGACCAGTCACCCTTTATTCCTTCTAACTTCTCCCTTTTGGACTAAGAATGTCTACCCCATGCCTCAACATTCTATTTTGGAAGCAGACAACTTGTTTTCTAGCTTCCGGAGTTTTGTCTCCAAATGGGTTATACTATACTCAGAGCCTCACTCATTCCCAGCTTAGGTGATGAGATTTGGGATTTTTGAGTGATGCTGTAATAGGTTAAGACTTTCAGGGATAGTGGGATGGGGAAAATGTATTTTGCACATGGGATGGGCATGAGTTTTGGGGTGGAGTTAGAGGCTGCACTCTGGTGGGTTGAATGGTGGCCCCTTAAAAAACTATGTCCATCTGGGACCTGAGAATGTCATCTTTGGAAAAAGGGTCTCTGCAGATGTAATTAAGTTAGGATCATGAGATGAGATCATCCTGGATTAGGGTCGGCCCTAACTCCAAGGACAAGTGTCCTTAGAAGAGAAGGGGAGAAGGCACGCAGAGGAGAAGGCCCTGTGAAGATGGGGGCAGAGGTCAGAGGGTGTTCTACAGCTAAGGGACCCCAGACACCGAGGACAGCCAGTAGCTCTGGGACACGAACCCTGTGCCTGGACGGTGAGCATCAGCTGTAATGGTGCGGGTTAAATGAAATAAATTTGAAACCAGTATTTCTTCACTGTCTTGCACAGCCCACAAATGGGCTCCTAATGTTAACCCACTGCTGGTGCTCTTGTAAAAGTTTGTCCATCAGATGGAAACCTGGTTTGGAATATATATATATCTATATATATTTTATTTTTTTTAAATTTTTATTTTTTTAAAAAAATATATCTTTATTGGTTTCAGAGAGAGGAAAGGAGAGGTAGAGAGAGAGACAGAAACATCAATGATGAGAGAGTCGTCATTGACTGAGCCCGCAACCCGGGCATGTGCCCTGACCGGGAATCGAACCCCAATCGCCTGGATCCTAGGTCAACGCTCAACCACTGAGCCACGCCCGGCCGGGCTCTCTATATATTTTAAAAATAGAGATCCCTGCCCTAGCCGGTTTTGCTCAGTGGTTAGAGCGTCACCCCATGGACTGAAGGGTCCCGGGTTCAATTCCAGTCAAGGGCACGTACCTCGGTTGCAAGCTTGATCCCCAGCCCAGGTAGGGATGAGTGAAGGAGGCAACCGATCAATGTGTCTCTCTCCTATCGATGTTTCTCTCTTACTCTCCCCCTTCTACTCTCTCTGAAAAGCAATGGAAAAAATATCCTCAGGTGAGGATTAAAATAAAAATAGAGATCCCTATCAAAAAGCAGGCTGAGCTAAATCCTTTGGCTACCATCCAGAGAAGGTGTACTCAATAACACAGCAGTTGGGACCACAATGATAGAGGTACAGCCTCACGTATGGGACCACGAGCCCCTTGTTCAGATGAAAATAGGACTGGCAGGCCTTGTTCTGTCTTGTAGTTTTAACAAGCTCAGCTGGCAGCAGCCCACTATCAATCTCCAAGAGGTTTCATTTCTAAATATCTCCAAGGAGAACCTAAAAGGGGCAGAAAACTCTGAAGTCAGGCCCCTTCCCCCCTTCCTCTTGGGGATTTGCCATCCTTTGCCCTTAATTGGCAGCTGGTTGCATAATGCTTGTCCTGAACCACATCCCTTTGCCAGCTAATCACTTCAGCATCCCTCTGACGAGGGCTGTGGACATCTTGCCTGGGGCATGCTCAGGCCCCAGACCCAGAGGGTGGTCCTGCTTCCTTGTGCCCCCACTGTCCCAAGGACTGACATGTATTAACTTATTTAATCCCACAACTACCACCACTGGAGGTGGTATTAGAATCAGCCCATTTTAAGGATGAGGAAACTGAGGCGTAGAGAGGCAAAGGCATTCGCCCAGTATTACTCAGCTGGGAAGGGGGCTGAGCTGGACTCTAGTCCTAGAGATTTTAAGATACGATGCCACTCAATGAAGAAAATAGGGGTGACAGACACATTGGGGTACATGGAATGGGGTTGTTGAAGGTACTGGCTAAGGCCCAGTGGGGGTACTATAAGAATCAGGGTGTTAAAGGATGAAGCACCCCTACTTCCCCATGCAGGATAAGCTGTGAGGCTCAGAAGTTCAGTATCTCGATTCTTGCTCCTTTTGGGCAGTGGGTTGTCATGGTGATGAGAGCAGGTAGAACTAAGAGGCAAAGAGCCGAGATGCTAATTCTGGGGGGTGGGGTACAGGTCTTGGCAGTGTCTCCTGTGCTCAGTCAGATCTAGCAGAGTCCTCCCACTACTGGAGTGAGTGGTGGACACTCTATGATCCAGGTTTTAACTGGGGGTCAGGGAAAGCTCCATCCTCACTTTGGTCGCCCTGGGGTGCCACTGGGTTCAGCTGCCTGCTGTGCGGGACCTGAGGCCAACAACTATTGAATGATATGAAACAGAATTGCTTCCACTCACTTTTCACTGGGGTGAGCCAATGAAAGCTTTAGGGGAGGGAGAGATTTAAAGCTGGGGAAACGAGATGAAGTGAAGTAGAAATGGCGGGAAGCAGAGGGAACAGAAAGAAAACAATCATATATATTATCAGTATTCTGGAGAATGAAAAACACAGAGTGCGTCTGGGAAAAGGCCCAAGGAACGACAAGAGGAAAAATGCGGGAGGCAGACCTCTGAGGCAGGGCCACTGGCTTCGCTGTAATATGGAACCGAAACGTCTTTTTACTGTATTATATTCTTGAATAAAGTTCTCACTTTGTCATTCTTATTTTTCTTAAAGCAGATGAATGGCTCAATCTTGGACTTTTTTCTGTAAAAAGTGCCTGAAGTTTTATTTCCAGGGAGCATTAGAACCTTTTTATCAGCCAAATGAATAATGCCTCTCCTGGCCAGGGCGTTTGACATGCCTATTAAAAAGGGAGTTAGCAGTCCCATCCTGGTTTAGGATAGAGCCTGACCAGCTGAGCATGTGTGTGTGGAAGTGGGAGGTACTTTCTTTCTCTGGAGAGGAGGGGGGAACAGAGGCCAGCTGTGGAATTTCATACTTCTACTGGTAGCTGGCTGCCCTTAGGGAAGTCCCTTTTCCTCTGTGGGCTTCAGTTTCCCCATCTGTAAAAAGAGTGAGTGAACAATCTAAAGACTATGATCTTAAGTTGTTTTTTAATGTCTGTGAGTCTTAATAATAATAGTAATAGCTAATGCCTATTGAGTGTTCACCACTAATAAAAATAGTTAACATCTAGCCCTGGCCGGTGTGGTTCAGTGGTTGGAGTGTCAGCCCATGCACTGAAGGGTCGAGGGTTCGATTCCCAGTTAAGGGAGTGTACCTGGGTTGTGGGTTGGGTCCCTGGCCCCTTTTCTGTGTGCATGTGGGAGGAAACTGATCAAGGGGTCTCTCTCTTGCATTGATATTTCTCTCCTTTTTTACTCTCTCTCCCCCCTCCCTCCCTTCCACTCTCTCTAAAAATCAATGGAAAAAAATCCTTGGGTGAGGATTAACAACAACAAAAAGTTAACATCTACTGAGAGTTTAATAATAATATTCATCCTAATAGTTAACATTTACTGAACACTTATTATAAGCCAGGCACTATTTAAAGCATTTTACATATACTAACTCATTTGAATCTTATGTCTACCCTAGGAGGTAGGTACTGCACTTATCCCCACTTTGGAGGTGGGGAAACAGAGACCCAGAGAGGGGAAGTGATATACTGCAAGTCACACAGCCAGGAAATGATGGGGCAGGAGTGTGACCTCTGGCTCCAGAGTCCTGGCCCTTCGCCATCAGGCTGTGCTGCCATTCTGTCCCTCTCATTCTGCCTCCTTCAATAATGGGAGCACATAGAATACTAAAAATGATATTTATAGTTATATTAGTAGTAATAATAGCAACAGTGATGCATTGGTCCTTAATTAGGCAGTCCTGTACTGAATACTTTATTCTGCCTAAAATTACTTCAGGGGCCTCCTATGGCTCCGAGAGGACTCAAGGCCCTGCTGGCTGATCCACCACTGTCCCTTCAACCTTTTGTCTCTCCTCACCCTCCAAAATGCAAACTGCAAACTGGCCTCCTTCTGGTCCTTTGCACATGCTGTTCTTAGCTTGGAACACTTCCCTTCCTTCTCTAACTGTTCCTTTCGGAAGCCTGTTACCTGCATGGCCATTACCCGCAATTACTTGATTGAATCCACAGCCTGCCTTAGACTATAGTAGGCACTTAGTAAACACTGAAGGAATGAATGAATAAACCTGTAAGAGAAAACCCCAGAGCAGGAATGACTTGGAACAATGGTTTTCAGGGGGTTGTTGTGAAAATATGTGGAGACCTAATGATATAATAATTAGGGGGCACTGTGGGCATTTAGGAAGCGGGATGCAAGTACACTAATATCTTAGCATATGCAGGGCAGTTCCACCTGGGGAAGAATTAGTCCATCTCCTTCATGACTTTCATATGCCCCTCACATAGGTGAAAATTCTGCTTGCAATGATCTGTGCCTTTAGTTTTACCCTAAATGTGTTTTCTGTATGAGAATAAAAAGTATTTTTGCATGTTTTAAATATACATCACATTTCCCCTGAATGCAACTATTGGACAAATTAGGGAAGGCTAGACTCGATTTCATAAGGAGCTTCACTCTGAGACCGCCAATCACAGTAGACACTGGCCTGGAGGCCCCCATTTTGGAACATCTCCACACTGATGGCAATGTTCTTGTGTTATGTAAGTTGTCCGCACAACCCAGAGTCAGCCGGCATTTGTACCTGTAGCATTCCTGATGACTTTGCGAAGTTGCCTGTCTCAGAATTACGTCACTCTGTGCTCTAGAGTCTCTTACTTAAAGTGTGGTCCCTAGATCTGGGAACTCTTTAGAAATGCAGATTCCCAGGTTGCACTTGAAACCTACTGAATTAGGATCTGTGTTTCAGCAAGATCCCTGGGGATTCACGCACACATCTGATTTTAAGTGCTGGCCTGCTGCGTATGTCATGTAACAGACCCACTTCAACACAACTTTAAAAAATCAATATGATGCCATAATGGTGATATAAAAGAAGACTAACGGGACATTAATAAAAGAATAATGTCTGTTTTAACATGTAAGTTGTTGGGTTGCTACATGGACCTTCTAAGGAGTGTTCCAAAATGTTATGAAAAAGAGGCTGCTGTTTGTACCTGGGTAAAGTGCCAGCCCGGAAGATGCTTCTGAAAGCCTTGAGCCCTGTTCCCCCTTCAGTGATGAGGACCCAGAGTGGCTTTTAAAATCCCCTTAGGAAAAGCGTCAGGTAAAAAGACAGCTGGATCAATAACAGCTAAAAATGGTCTCAGCTGACCAAGCACTGTGCCAGCTGCACCTTCAGGCCCTTTGCGAGTATTACCTCATTTAATTCCTGCAATGACCCATTATGCCATTTTAGATCCCACTATGCCATTTTACAGATAGAGGGAACTGAGGCCCAGAGTTGTGAAGTCACTTGCCCAAGGTCACACAGCAAGCGCTTGGAAGAGCCGAGTAAGTCTGGGGGAGAGTTTCTGTGGAGTTTCCTTGAGATGCAGGAGGGCATGATGACCATCAGGTGTCAGATGGCCTGGGTTCAAGGCCACTTGTTAGATGTGTGACCTTGGGCAAGTCGCTCCACCTGTTTCCCCATCTGCGCACTGGGGTGATGACAATGGGATCTATCTCAGGGGGTTGCTGAGAAGACCGAGTTGAGCAGGACAGTGCCAGGCGTATAGCAAGGGCCACGGGGACTGTTGTTATTACTGCGGTATTGTTACTACTGCCCAGATGCCAGGCGGCCGCCACTTACTTCCTCCGCCGGTGCCTGCGCTCCTTGTCCTCCCTCCGCGCGTCCGGGTCGTAGGTGGCCGCGGCGCCGTGCCGGTGCCGCCGCCTCCGCTCGCCGCCCTC